TCTAATATTTATTGCGACTAATTATTAGTCTAGATTTATCATTAACTCAAAGTCTACTTTCATGATCTATCAAGTAAGGATCAGCCAGGCAGGATAGTTGGGAGGCAGGACCATTTGGCATATAGTTTTTCTGAAATCCAACAACCAAGCCAACGTGACCATTTTAGACACCTCTCCCGTAAGTAGATCAATCAGTATAACGAATTTGAATCACTGATAAATATTTTTTATAGGTTCATAATAACGATAATGAACTTAAACATAATTTATACTTAAAGTAGGGTAAGCATAACTCACTTACAAGGGAGTTTAGCGAGGAACCAAGCTCTGCGCGGGCAGAACTTCTGAGCCGGAATCTCTTCTTCTCGGGGCCTTCTGGCGCTCTGGGACTCGCTACTAACACCTAGGAAGTTCTAGGGAAAAGCCTTGAGGGTTTGGGGGTGTTTGGGAGAGAAATGGATGAGAAGATGTGAGAAAAATGAGTGAAAACGAGTGCTATTTATAGGCTGATGGAGTGCACGTACGTTGGGCGTATTGGAGATGTACGTTGCGCGTACTCGATACGTGGGGCGTTCATAGCCTTACGCGGGGCATACTCAAGCCACGTGTCAGCATCGCATGTGAAGCCGTGGGGAAGAAGGTGGGGCTGAGATCTCGCCACGTGTCAGCTCCGGAACTTAAGCCAAAAATTAATTATCTTCTAAATTTCGTAACTTTCGCATACGAGCTCCGTTTTTGACGTTCTTTATATTCACGCATAGGTATCGACGGGATCTACAACTTTCGTTTAGACTTTGTCGGCTAATTTTGAATTTATTTTAAAAGTTATATTTTAACAGGCTTAGACAGTTAAAGTCCGTTAAAAATTCATAACTTTGCCATCCGACATCCATTTTTGGTTGTCTTTATATCGTTGAGCTCCTATTAATGAGATCTTCAATTCTCATTTAGGTTGTATCGGCTAAAAATCGATCGGTCTAAAATTCGATTTCCGGGTTGTGTACATTGAATTTAGAAAAATCATAAATTCCTCTAACGAAGTCAGATTTGGCTGTTCTCTATATGCACGCTCTCGGTTTAACGTATACAATGAATTTAGTTTAGATTGCTAAGTCTAAAAAGTATTTCGTCAAAAATTCATTTTTTACGATACGCGGAGCCGTGCCGGTTTAATCGCAAAACTTTAACGAGTCATAACTTCTTCGTTATAAGTCGGATTTCAACGTTCTTTATATGTACGTAATCCTTGTGACATATACTATAACTTTGGCTAGGATTATTTATCCTAAATAATCTTCTATCTAAAAGTCGTTTTTTAAACAAAGATTATTGTCTCTAAATTGACTAGCCCGAATCTGTGGGCGTTACATATGTGACTGCGATTCAAGCAAAATATAAAAGGAAATACGTACTGTGATTTTGTTGGGTCGAGATCGATTGTTAAGAACGAAAAGGGGGCAGATCCTTTTGACATGTGTTTTATTGAGAATACATGGTGTATCGGTCGTTAGAGGTTAAAGAGACTAAAAGATCATGTCATAACCCACATTATTTTCTATAAAGCCAAAAAAATAAGTTTGGTAACCTTTTAAACCAAAACTCAAAAGATTGATACTACAATATCATTAGCCCTTAAAATTAAACCCAATACTGACTATTTACTATTTATGAAAAATAACTTATTAAGGTGATTAACTTTTCGGTTTGTTCACATCCTGGTAACTATTTTTTTGTAAACAATGAACTTTTTGGAAGTGTTCACCTATGATCATTATGACTGGCTGTAGCAGGTTACATCCGGTCATAATGGTCATGTGTGAACATTTCCAAAAAGTTTGTTATATACAAAAAAAAATACTTATCCAGATGTGAACAAACTGAAAAGTTAATTATTCTAATAAGTCAATTTCTTTTCTATTTTATTTCATCTTCTAATTTAGACTTTGTATAAAATTTAACCTAAATGGTAAATGTTTTCAAAACCACACCATTTTGGTAAATACTTTTTAAAATACACCACTTTAGTAAAAAAAATCTCTAGATTTGACATGGAAAAAAAAAATCACCGTTTTATAAAATTTTATCGTTTAAGATATTAAATATAAAAATTTAAATTTACTAGAGACTAAAAGTATCAGAAATGGAGACCAATAACATGAAGAACACCATCTTCAATGAAGTTTGATCTATATATTATAGCAATTAAAATACAAAAAAACTTTTATCTACATCGATAGCATTAGTTTTGTCTCATATATATATATATATATATATATATATATATATATATATATATATAGGGGATGGCTCAAATGAGTACAACAAATAAAGTGAACACGTGAGAACACTACTTTTATATTATTTATTCTACTATAAATTTTGTATATACAAAATAGTGATCTCACGTTCTCACTATATATATATATATATATATATATATATATATATATATATATATATATATATATATATATATATATATATATATTATCAAAAACGGCTCATAACATGCTGTGACAAATTTAAATTCTCTTAAATGGTCATAAATATTGTTTTATGGAAATTTAATTGAATCTATTAATATTGCAATGATCGATTACCTTAATAATAATACAGATTGACTTATCAGGTTACTTACCTTTTCATCTTGTTTATATTTGGGTAAATTCTTTTTTTGTACACATCCAGTTAACAAACCTGTTGATATAAACAAACCGAAAAATTAAATTTACCTCTCTAATAAATGAAACCTAAAATTGACACGTGGCATCTTCCTAGGCTTTATATTTGACACTTGGCAATTTTTTATTCACCTATGTTTTGAATTCCCGCTCATTTTCATTCTCAATCAGATCAATTCATATCCCAAATAATCAGGAAATATTCCTTTTATTATTGTTTTCCCGTTTGTTTGTTAATCTCTAAAATTGAACTTCTTCAATCTATCCCACAAAATCAGGAATGATTTATCTATAACGATCTTCAATCCAATATCAATAAATCACGATTGAAATCAAAGTTATTAACAACCCCTTATTATCATTGTTTTCTTCTTTTACTTCGTCCTTCGACTCCCCTGTTACACCCATCAATTTAATCTCTCTCCATCTCTATGAAAACACTAGAAATTTCACTGAACCACCACCTTACCTCCACTGCTACACCCATTAATGCATCTGCTAATCTAAACCAATACCCAAAACACCATAGCCAATTCCACCATGCCACATCTCTTCCACCATCGCACGCCTTCCATCACTCCCTGACTTTCTATTGCCGTTTGTGTCACTTCCTTCTCAATCTCTTTTACTTCCGATTTGGTTTCCTTCTCAAGCATACGGCTACTGAAAAAGACAGAACATAAGCAACAGATGATTGGGTTTGAAGGTAAGGTATCTATGTTTCCAAATTTTCATGTAAGGTATTTGTTAGAGATTTTATAAAAAGACGGTGTGGACAATGATTCAACATAAGAAACTTGCAATTAGTTGCTTAATTCACTGGATGCCATTTTTATATAAGTAGTTATAGTATGAAAGCTAGCTTCAACATGTCTCCTTTAGATCTAACCTGATGCGTATATATAATTTGTTACCCTTTTATCTAATTCGTTTTTTGTATATTTAATCTATATTTATATTCAAAGAAGAAGTCGGTGAAGGTTAGTATTGTATAGTCAATCTATATTTATATGGGATTCTACTCATGTTTAAAGTAATTGTCGAAAGAAAGGTGCTCATTGGTGGAGATTTTGAGACCTAAATTGGTAAACTTTCACCTCCATTAAGCAATTACTTGGTTTTTTTGCACTATAAATTTTCATAATACAACATGAAGACACTATGAAGAAATTGGTTAGTTCAAATAATAAGATCCACCAGCTGGAATCCAACTTTCTCACAAGCAACATGTTTCTTTTGTTGGTCAAAGAGTATGAAAATATTCTGGAACTGCTGTTAAGATATATTTTATTTTGGATTCTCATTTATATTTAGTTTTTCTGTGTATTAAGTGGTTTATAATTATACAATTTGTGATTTTGCATTTACAGAAAGTACAAGAATTTGAAAATGAAACTACCAATTCAGAAAAGAACTTGAATGTGAAAAGGTAAGGATCAGTGTATAATTTTTAGTTTACTTTCTCTTTATTCTCTTATGTAATTTTGTTGATATTAGACAATGCATCGTAATATTTTCTTTGAACCATTTATGAAGGGTTTGAATACATGAAAGATACCATGTTCCAGTTTCAAACTTCTTTATATCAATAACATTTAGCCTTAATTTTTCAAAGTACATTGATGTTATAGAAGTAAAGGAAAGTAAGACGCATTGATAAATAATTGAAAGTATGATGAGATTTATTCGGACTTATTTTGATTAAATAGTTTTAAATACAAAATAATTTTATTTTTATGAAGAATTCAAAAACAGTCAAACATGGTTTCAAAAAACAAAGTTTGATGTATGAGATGTGGCTTCAAGATCAAAGAATCGGGTAATATATACTTTGGAGAATATTGGTCCAGACATTTTTATAGACAATTTATTGAAAATTATACTTTAATATGCATTTTTTAGAAAAAGAAGAAGAAGAAGATGATGATGATGATGATGAAACAAAAACTGCAACAATTTTACGAGGATATGCAATATAAAGGTAATAGTAAGATATTAAGATTATATATGTAATTTCAAATATAAATTATACGAAATGACCAAAATAGTGAAATACCATTAATTGATGTTTTAGTAATTTGTTTTTTTAAATAAAAATGTTGTCATCTATTAAAATAGCTCATTCGTGAAATCATAATTTTGAAATTTTTTTAAAATAACAACCATGATTTCCACGGGTTATAACTTAGTACCTTAATAAATCAATTCCTGTTTATTTACTATTTACGATTAACAATTTAATACCCACGAACGCGTTGACTAAACAGGGGTATTTACGGCATGATATAAAAGACATCCAAAGCCGCTCATGACATAACCATTCGAGACCCAACCCTTGCTTCCCATATCGTTCATTCGTTCAGTGCTTCTCATCCCCCTTCCTCTATATATCCCCCTTCGAATCTCCCTTACCTATATAAACATCTACTCTTTCAAATTCCTACCCGCCTTACATCAAATCATCTGCAACGTTCGTCAATTCTCAGTCTCCTGCGTTTCCCATTGATTTTAATTTTGAAACCCATCTCAGAATTTCCAGAAACCCTAATCTAAGATCTCACATTCGAAGAGGGTGGCCGGATAGTTAACGAATCACTACTTTCTGGTCTGTAATCGGGAGATTATTAATAGTCTGTATGTTGTAGATTTAATTTTACATTAATAGCATCTGTAAATCAAAGAATTAGTGAATTGTGAAACTAAAATATCTTCGAATACGGGTTTGGGAAGGTTGGTTTATGGCGATGATTCTTTTTGTAGGACTAATTTGATTGGGAAAAGGTTCATTCGCTGAAGGTGTTGATTGAACTGTGGAGTTAGAGAAGGGATAAGGAGGAGGGTTTGATGGCGGATCAAGCGCTTGAAGGGAGCCAACCGGTTGATCTCATCAGACACCCATCTGGAATTGTCCCTACTCTTCAGTAAGTTCTTAATTGATTCTTCTTTGGTGAGAACAAGTAGCATCAGTCTTGGTTTTAAGTAGTTTGTGCTTGTTTGCGAAACAATTGCTGTCTGAAATCATATGGGTTCGTTTGATTTTACACAGTTCCACCACTTCGTTAGACTTGCAGCTCCCTAGGGTTCGTGATGCACATGTCATGTACTTTTGAATTCCTGACCACAAACTGAGCTCATGTTAACAATGAGCAATTTTGTTCTTCCTTTCACCAAAATGGATGTGAAGATTCAGAAAACTTTAGACACAGAGACTAAAATGGAAGATATGTTCAAGTCTTATGATTGAACTAAGAAAAAACAAAGTATACAAGTTCATTTTTCTGATAGTCTAGACTAATATAGATCAAATTAAACAAAATCATAAAAAAGTGGTCTTAGTATGCATTTTACAATGCTTTTTACATCCACTCATTATACTACTTGATTTTGTATCTACTCATGGACTTGTGTAACACCCCTTCCTTAAGAGCATTGAGAATAGCAACATGCTTTCATTATTTTTACAATGTTTTTTTATATATATTTGTAGAAACATAGTGTCTACTGTCAATCTTGACTGCAAGTTGGATTTGAAAGCTATAGCATTACAGGCTCGAAATGCAGAATACAACCCTAAGGTATGTATGTACTATTTGTTGATATTTGAATCAATCATTGCTCCTTTCGGATGTTTTACTTATGAATGTGTTTATCAGGTGAAGAACTGATTATAAAATCTTATAACCCTTTTTCAGTTTTTCCTTCAGCTAACAGCATTCACTTATTGTTATTTGTGTACTTCACCCAGCGTTTTGCTGCTGTTATTATGAGGATAAGAGAACCCAAAACTACAGCACTAATCTTTGCTTCTGGGAAAATGGTAACTTTTTTTATTTTAAATTTACATTTTATTATCAAGCAAATATCCTTGTATTCAAAGTATCTTGTTATTTCCCTTTTATTTTGGCTGTTTTTCTTCATCTTCATATGGATATTGTACTTTGGTTTTTCAGGTTTGTACAGGAGCCAAGAGTGAACAGCAATCAAAATTAGCAGCAAGAAAGGTACATGAGGATTATTATTATAATCTTTTTATTAAAAAAAATGCAGAATCTTTACAAATATTCTGGTATTTAAATCATTTTTTGGAGATAAAGGCTAAATCAATCATATAGTGTTACTATTTTCGTTTTTTTTTTTTCTCTTTTATTGTATGCTTAAAGACTTGATTCTTGTCCAGTATGCCCGAATTATACAAAAGCTTGGTTTCCCGGCAAAATTTAAGGTAAAACTTAAACACTCTCATATATCTCATATTATTCAAAAAAATGAAAATTAAATCAAATAAATTTGTGTAATTTTTTAGGATTTCAAGATTCAGAATATAGTGGGATCATGTGATGTGAAATTTCCAATTAGACTTGAAGGACTTGCGTACTCTCATGGTGCTTTCTCAAGTGTAAGTTTCTTTTTATTTGTTTCACTAATCAAACTCAACTTATTTTAAATAATTATTAATTATTTTTTATTCATTATTATAATTGCAGTACGAGCCGGAACTGTTTCCTGGATTGATTTACCGTATGAAGCAACCTAAAATCGTGTTGCTCATTTTTGTTTCTGGGAAAATTGTTCTTACTGGAGCTAAGGTGTGAGATTTTAATAGTTTATACATACATATATATATTTTTTATTTTTTATTTGTTTATTTTTCTAACTTTTTTTTATGGTGTTTTGTTGTAGGTTAGAGAAGAGACATACACTGCCTTTGAGAATATATATCCAGTGCTAACAGAGTTTAGAAAGAATCAACAATAGTAATATTCAGTATGGGAATGAGAGAATGAAATTTGTATTTTTGGCCTTTATGCCAATTTATTCGTCGATTGAACAAATATCACCCACAAGAATTTTGAATTTTGTGACTTTTTAATGGTTTTGAGTAGGTTTTTAGACAATTTTGAGTGTTGTTTTGTTTATAGCTTGAAAACAATAACATGAGTTTGATAGAAAAGTTAGAAGTACCTCTCGAATCGACTAATGATTGTCGAATATGGTGGTCGTATCAAGTTGGATGATTGACTATAAACTTAAATTTGTTGTATTGGTTGCTTTATATCTTCTTTTTCAAACAAAAGATAAATTAGTAACAATTGTAATTTATTTTTTATAAATAAAATTGAATATTAGTATATTTTTTTATAAAAGACCAAATCTAAAAAAAGTATAGTAAAATTTTTTAACCATTTTAAAGAATTAAAAACCATATGATGAGATTTTATGAGATGCAAAAAATATTTGGTGATTATTTTTCCAAGTTATATAGTTTTTTTTTTTTTTTGTTGTTGAAAAGAAAAAAAAAACATAGCAGTTAAAAAATACAATTTTATGGTTAAAACGAAAATAATAGACTGATTTTTATAGAATATATGGAATAAAATTGGATTGTAGATAATAACTAATAAAGAAGATGGGACACAAATGTATTCTTGGGTCTTGATTATGCCATTATGAAAAACTACTACGCATTAATAAAACAAATAAACACAAAAACATAAAAATATAACACCAAAAAAAGAGCATATAAAAAAAGACATGAAAAACCTGTTAGAAACCTAAAACCTTCCTATTTTACATGTCTTCCTTCCCCCTCAAACCTCAAACCTCCTTTTGTATACATTTATCCTTAAAAACATATCATCTAGCAACCATTTGCAACGACACCATTCACTGTCGTTTTAGCCTCATGATTGTTTTCCACTTCATCTTTCTTGTTGTTGTTCTCAACAATGGTGAGTTTTTCTTCCCATGTCTGTTTCTGAAACTGCTGTTGTTTTGCTTTCTTTTCTTGAATCCTCTTCTGTCTATCTTCATAAAACTCAAAATCATCCAATATACATTGCTTGCTTGAATGCTCTTTAAATATCTTAATCATTTGTAACCCCTGATCCAATTTCACCTGATACAAAAATAAAAACCCAACTTTCAATAACCAAAACACAAAATTAAAAACAAAGATTATAAATTCATAATCAAAAATCTAAAAGAAAATACCTCTTGGGTGTCTCTGCTATTTGTAACAGGTTTATTCTCATTGTTTTCAAGAATAATATGCTTCAATAAAGTATTAGGCACATCTTTCACAATATGCCACTTCACAGGAAAACAACCAATCCATTTGTCTTGTTGCCAATACTCCAAGCTTTTGTTAAAATCAACCGGGCCCACCATTTCTGCAACACCCACAAATTGTCCACTTGTATTCACCTACAAAACCAATCACAAAAATCAAACACTAGACATTAAAAAAAACAGAAGGGTAAAACCATAATTAACCATACCGAGAAGAAAAGAAAAACAGGGCATCTTCCAGGCTTCTGTTGAGCCTCCTGATATGCAGCTTCAAGTTTCTTGTTTCCATTTTGTGTACTTGACCACACGTTATACTTGATGCTCTTATGAACATCATCTTCACTATAAGACTTGATAATAAAGAACTTGGCATCTTCATAAGTTTCAGGGAAATCTGTGTGGTTGTATTGGTCTTTATCTGGAGCTGCACACACCTTATCGATACCATCAATGTTTGTCAAATTCCCATTCTGTCCTTTAACAGATATTGTGATTCGGGGTCTTGTTATCCTAGCTCTAGGTCCCCTGTTTAGCTCATTAAGACCATCTGTGTTCTCATTGGTGTAACCAAAGAAACCGTTTCCTCCTCTTCCTCTAGGCTTGTACTTGTTATCAACAGTCATCCAGCCATTCCCATAAGAGCTGTAGTTGCTTCCATATTGGCTATATAACTTGTTTGGATACATTCTATTCATGTATGCATTTGCTGCATTTATGCCAGACATTGGTCTTGGACTCTACAAATCAAACAAATCATTTAATCATAAACTCGTAATCAAGAATCAAGAATCAAGAATATCAACAAGTAATGAAGAAAGATTAGATTTTTAGTTTTTTACATACCATGAGATGAGAATGAGGGCGAACGTTCTGATTCTTTGAAGAAAACCCATTTGTGTTTAATAAAGGAGGAGTGATGTTATTGTTTCTTAATGGGGTGTCTAACCATGGTATTGGAGAGTGGACCCCATCAAACCCGTATCTTGGATCTTGAAACGAATTATGTGCACCACGGTTAAAACCTGAATTCTGATACACTGGTGGTCTCACAGGGGCAGAATTTGTGGTTCCTTTTATAATGGAATTGGGATTTCCGGTGGTGGTGTCCACAGGGGTAGATCTGGAATTCTCCACTTTCAGAGGGACAGAAGGGGTGTTAGCCATTGGTTGGAAGTATGGAGTAGGGTATTGGTAATGTTGAGCTCCATAGATTTGACCATCATGGGTGGTGGTTGGAACTGGTGAGCCAGCTGGTGAATATGGACCATAAGGTGTGTAGCCATAACCAGGATACATGAGTGAACCAGTATCTCCATAACCACCATGAGACATGTCAACTACATCAGGGTTTACGTATCTTGAATAGTCATCCCATTCATTGGTGGCGCCATCATAACCTCCATAGTAATAAGCAGGAGAAGGGTAGCCATTGGGAAAGTAAGCCACTGTTGGATCCATGAAATCTGGAATCAATGGTGTAAGAGACCTTTCGAAAGGTTGGTTTTGAATGATGCCATTGTTTCCGGTTTCAATAGAAGGCTGCAAGGTGTAAACAAACCACATGATCAAGTTTATGGTAATGTTAACGAATATTGACGAAACTTGTAAAATTATCGAGAAAATTATCACAAATTACCAAATTTATGCAAACTCCTCACCTTCTTAGCAGACTCTGAAGTCTCCAAGGTCTTGGACTGAGAGTCTAATGACATATTCTTCAACAAATCAGCAGCTTCTGTAGTAGAATAAGTAAAGGAAATCCAATTGTTTCACAGAAATTGGTCGCTATAAACATTTGAACCAAAATAGTAGTCGATAGTTCGTGGGGATCTACTACTAGAAAGCTTTCAGAGCCAAAACGAAAAAAGTTAGTCGAACGGGATATAGAAATAGAAAAAAGGAATACCTTTATCCAAATCAGAAAAGATCAAGCACGAATCTCGGAATTATGATTCGGTTTTGTGTGACATACAACCGGCATGGTTACAAATCACATAGAACTCAGATCTATTAAACCATATTTAAATTTATAAAAAAACAAAACAATTCGAATCGAGCTACAGCAAAAACAATTCAGTAAAGGAAAATCATAGTAAACAGAGGATACGATCTGCGGGAGGAGCAACGGCGGCCATGATTGGAGATGATAGATTGATAGATCTTCAAAAACAGGGTATAAAACCCAGAAATAGTTTGGGGTTTTGAAGGGGATAGAGAGAAACCCTAGGAAGAGGGAGTGAGAGGAGTTTCGGCGGCCACAGAGAGCGAGGGTTTGGGCTTTGAAGCAAAGAGGTTTTGATCCAAAGGAAAGTGGTGATTCAAATAGCACCACGCCCCCCTTCAACGCATAGTGGCATCTTTGCCCCCTTTAGTTTCATTTTGATGACTTTGCCACCTATGGTTTCAAATTTACGTTTTTACACGTTGGCTTTGACACTTATGGGTAGGGGTGAGCAAAAACCGCACCGTAACTAAATTTAACCGCAAAAACCACATAAACCGCAACCGATAAACCGCAAACGTAATAAAAACCGATGGTGAGGTTTTTTGTTTTTCAAAAACCGCAAATTTGTGGTGCGGTGCGGTTATTAGTTTTCAAAAACCGCAAAAAAAACTGCACCGCACCACATATATTATATACAACTTTTTTTATTAATTATTAATATATTAAATGTTAAAAATAAGATAAGTTTCATGGAAGAAAGATAGATAAAATACTAGAAGACAAAAATGTTAGTTTTTTGTTATGTTTAATTTTGAAAAATGGTGAAATTAGACAATTTTAAGATATTTATTCTTAATTACTACTGATTTGACGTTTTTAGGATATTAGTTGTTTGTGATTTAAGTTAATTGTCTTATACCTTATGGTTTTTTTTATTATTACAAGTAATATGTTTGAACTCTTAAAACCGTTTGAGCTCTAAACTGTGGTTAAAAACCACATAAAATAACCGCACCAAATCCATGCGGTTAATAACCGCAACATAGAAAAAACAAAACCGCACCGCAAAAATAACCGTCTAACCGCACCGCAAAAATAACCGCACCAAGCGGTTTTGAAAAATGGATTAACCGCATTTGCGGTTAGTGGTGAGGTTTTAGCTAATAACTGCACCGAACCGCACCGCGCTCACCCCTACTTATGGGTGAGCAAAAACCACACCGCAACTAAAATTAACCGCACAAACCGCAACCGCAATAAAAAACGATGGTGAGGTTTTCTGTTTTTCAAAAACCGCAAATTTGCGGTGTGGTGCGGTTATTAGTTTTCAGAAACCGCAAAAAAAACCACATCGAACCACATATATTATATACAATTTTTTTATTAATTATTAATATATTAAATATTAAAAATAAGACAAATTTCATGGATGAAAAAATGATAAAATTCTAGAAGACAAAAGTGTTGATTTTTTGTTATGTTTAATTTTGGAAAATTGTGAAATTTCACAATTTTAAGATATTTATTGTTAATTACTAGTGATTTCGCGTTTTTATGATATTAGTTTTTTGTGATTTAAGTTAATTGTCTTATATCTTATTCTTTTTTCTATTATTACAAGTAATATGTTTGAACTCTTAAAATCATTTAAACTCTAAACTGCGGTTAAAAATCACACAAAATAACTGCACCAAATCCATGCGGTTAATAACCGAAACACAAAAAAACAAAATCGCACCGCAAAAATAACCACACCAAACAGTTTTGAAAATGGATTAACCGCATTTGCGGTTAGTAGTGAGGTTTTGACCAATAACCGCACCGAACCGCACCGCGCTCACCCCTACCTATGGCTTCGTTCACCTAAAGACGAAAAGCAGTATTTTT